GAAAAAAGGTTTTGAGTTCACGCTGATGGTGGTTGGTGAGTCAGGTCTAGGAAAATCAACTCTAATAAACAGCCTGTTCCTGACTGATCTCTATCCAGAAAGAATCATACCTGGAGCTGCAGAGAAAATTGAAAGAACTGTCCAAATTGAGGCTTCAACTGTGGAGATTGAAGAACGTGGGGTTAAGCTGCGCCTGACAGTAGTGGACACACCTGGCTATGGGGATGCCATCAATTACAGGGATTGTTTTAAGACCATCATCTCCTACATCGATGAGCAGTTTGAACGCTACCTTCACGATGAGAGTGGCTTGAACAGGCGACACATCATTGATAACAGGGTGCACTGCTGCTTCTATTTCATTTCACCTTTTGGACATGGGCTGAAGCCTTTAGATGTCGCATTTATGAAAGCAATACACAATAAGGTAAACATTGTGCCTGTCATTGCGAAAGCCGACACACTCACTCTGAAGGAGTGTGAACGACTGAAGAAAAGGATTCTGGATGAAATTGAAGAACATAACATCAAAATCTATCACTTACCTGATGCAGAATCAGATGAAGATGAAGACTTTAAAGAGCAAACTCGGCTCCTCAAGGCCAGTATCCCATTTTCTGTGGTTGGATCCAACAAGCTGATTGAAGCCAAAGGCAAGAAGGTCAGAGGTCGCCTCTACCCATGGGGTGTTGTGGAGGTGGAGAATCCTGAACATAACGATTTTTTGAAGCTGAGAACCATGCTCATCACCCACATGCAAGATCTACAGGAAGTGACCCAGGACCTGCACTATGAAAATTTCCGTTCTGAGAGGCTTAAGAGAGGTGGCAGGAAAGTGGAGAATGAGGATATGAATAAAGATCAGATCCTGCTGGAAAAGGAAGCTGAGCTTCGCCGCATGCAAGAGATGATTGCAAGGATGCAAGCGCAGATGCAGATGCAGATGCAGGCTGGTGACAGTGACAGCGGGGCTCTTGGGCACCATGTGTGAGTTGTGAGCATGAACATGTAACACTCCTGAATAAAAAGAATACATTCCAGTTGAGTGTTAAGATACAGATTTTCATGAGATCCTTGGACGAGTACCCATTCACATATATAGTACCTATGCCTCAGTTTTTTAAACCTTTGATGCATTTTTTTTTTGTATGATGTTCTTTTAACATTTGCATTTCATTGCTATGTTACACTTGATATTTTACGAGATACACTCATTTTCATTTTCTGTCCTCTTACCTAACCACTAATGTTAGAATTGACTGCTGAGAATCCGTCGGCGTGTAGAGTGAATTTCTTTGATGTCGCTTTCAGCTTTACCACCAGACCATGCAGGTGTAACCAGAGTGTTTCTGTGTGGTGCACATGTACCTCTGACAGAAGGCTGTGTGAACTTGGTGCCAGGCCCTTTGCTTACTCCGTCACACTGTGTGAACCTGTTACCTTTCTTGGTTTATTTTTGTGTAACAGCTAAGCCCTTCACTGCTGCAGTTCTGTACTGTAATTCCTAGGCACATTTATCTCTCACTAAATGGAACGGAGCAGAATTTGTAATGAAATACATGTTTCTATATGAATAACTTTAAAAAGTGTCGTGAGGGGCCTTCTCTGATGCCGTCACTTTCAGCCCTCTGCAGAGAACTCAGCACAGGCACGTTTTATTGTGTCCTCCACAGTTGCTGGTTATGCTGCACTGCAGAGAAACCAAAGCAGCTGTGAGCTCCAGTTTCATGTTGCAGCGATTTTTTACACAATAAGTGTCAGTATGTTATTTTTACACAACTAAATTAAGAAACAATTTTTAAAGAAACCAGCTTTTTTATGTT